CTAAACTTTTGTCAAGTTTCTAATCATAAAGGTGAAACCATTGGCCAAGCAATTGAGAGTTGTTTATTGGAATGGGGAATTGATAAGATTTTAACAGTTACTGTAGACAATGCAAGTTCAAATAATTTGACAATAAAATATCTGAAAAGAGTCACAATTGGGTGGGCAACTAATATATTGTCAAATGACTTCATGCATATTAGATGTTGTGCGCATATTGTTAATCTTATTGTATGTGCGGGGTTGAAAGATATTGCTGATTCAGTGGTTAAAATTAGAAATGCAGTAAGGTTTGTTAGATCATCTCCTTCTAGACAACTTGTTTTTAACCAATGTGCGGAGCGATTGAAAATTGGAAGTAAAAAATCTGTTTGCTTGGATGTTACAACTAGATGGAATTCTACATATATGATGCTAGATGCGGCTGCTAAATTTGATGTGGTTTTTATGAGGTTAGAAGAAACTGATCCTAGGTATTTGAGTTATTTTGAGGTTGATTCAAAAGGAAAACAAAAAAACTTAGGTCCTCCTACTTTAGAAGATTGGGAACAGGCTAGATCTTTTGTCAAGTTCTTGAAATTATTTTACACGGTTACATTGAAATTTTCCGGCTCGTTATATGTGACATCTAATTCTTTCTTCCATGAATTGATTTCCATGCACACAAGCATATCTCAACTTTGTAGAAGTGAAGATATTTATGTAAGTCAAATGACCAAGAATATGATGGCAGAATATAAAAAATATTGAGGGGATCAAGACACACAAAACTTTTTGTTATATGTGGCTATTGTGTTAGATCCATGTTTCAAATTGAAATATGTGAGATTTTGTTTTGGAAGATTGTATGATGTTGAAGATGCTGAAAATTTTACAATTAAGGTTAAAGATACTTTGCTAAGGTTTTTTTAGCATTACATTAATTTTGATGAAATTGTTAAGGTTGTTTATAGTGTTGGAACTAGTATAAATGAAAATGTTAATATTGATTTAATAGTGGTAAATGATGATATGTTGGATGACTTTGCTTTTCAATTCAAAAAATATTTAGAAGAAAAAGGCGGTGTAAAGAAAATAAGGTTGAAAGGTATTTGGGTGATGATTGTGAGGATCTGAATGATTTTAAATTAGATATTTTGGGTTAATAGAGGTGTAATGCTACAAAACACAAGATTCTTTCTAAGGTGGCATAACACGTGTTAGCCATCCTAATATCTATAGTTGTTTCTGAAGTAGCATTCAGTACTGGCGGTCATATATTAGATCCATTTTGAAGCTCTTTATCTCCATCGACAGTGCGAACATTTGTTTGTTGTCAGAATTGGTTAAGTTTAGCACAAATTCCAATCAACTTTAGAACCTTCATAGATTATATTGAAAATTTTAAGATGATCGAGCTAGGTAATTTATCTTACAGATTTAAATATAGTTATTTTATAATATTTTTCTAGGTAATTTATCTTACATATTTAAATATAGTTATTTTATAATATTTTTTATTTACATATGTTTAATCTAACATTTTAATTTATGTTTTTATAGAATTTGGTGAAAGTTTAAAAATCTCAACTGATTATTTGTAAGTAGTATTTGTGGCTTGGTGTAATCTAGAAATATAATTGTTTTGGGTAATTAATTTACTTTACCTTGTTAATTCCCCTTAAAATTTAGCATACTTAATTCTTTCAATAGTTGAACTTTAATACGTTGCTAATTTGTTAGTGTTTTTTTATAGCGTTATCTTTACTGGAATTTTTAGATGCTGCCGTTCTGGAATTTTTGAATTTTGGTGTTGCTGGGTTTTTTTCTTCTAATTATGCTGGATGTTTATGATAATTTATTGTTGTTGCTAATATATTCGCTTGTTAATATTAACTTTTCTAATGCGAACAAGCTTTTAATTTTAGATGTTCGAATTTGATCATGCATCTTGCATATTGTATTGATTTAACACTTTGTGAAGCATATCAAAAGTCAGCTAGTTTACATCTCTGTAATATTTTAATTCATGTCTAGATTTTAATTCATATTAAAAGTTGGCTAATTCATATTAAAAGTCAGCCAATTTAATGCAAGGTTGTTGTAAATTTTAAAGCTAAACATTGTAAATTTTTAATTTTTAAAAGCTAAACATTAGATTATTGTAAAATTTAAAGATTAATTTAAAGTAAGGCCAAGCCAATTTTTTTTTAATAAAAAACTCATATATAATGGGATTAGGTTTCCTTGTTTTTTTCTAAAAAACTGGATTTAACCAAACCGGACCGGTTTGGTTTGAACCGATTTTCGGTCCAGTTAGGTTAATTTTTTACAAAAATACTTTAATTCAATTTGGTTGGTTTTTTAGTCTAAACCAAACCAAACCGTGAATACCCCTAATTCTTTTCATTATAATTTACTTTGGTTTCATGTATTCCTTAATTGATTTTTTTTCCAGATTCATTCATCATTGTTTGATTTTAATAACAAATTTGATTTTTATTTTTTTAATTATAGTTTTTAAACCCAACCCAGGGGTCTATCTCAGGTAAGTCCTGAGTCACAAATCGAGTGGATTGGTCAAGGCTACCCGGATCAACTTATTCTAAAAAAATAGTTGGTGAGTTTTAATTTTTTTTACATGGAAGTTGCGTCCTTATTTTTTTAATTATGATTTTTAAGCTCAACCTGGAGGTCAACCCTGAGCAAATCCCGAGTCATAGATTAGGTGAGTTGGTCAGGGTTACTCAAACAACTAATTTTTTTTATTTTACATGTAAAAATGACATTATTTTTATGAAAACTTTTAAAAGAAAAGGAATAACGAGTTTTAAATAAGAGTTTTAAAATAAATTAAAAGAAATTTAATAAAGAAATTAGATTCTCATTCTTTTGATCATGGTTTTTAGACTTTGTTTGAGAGTTGACTTAGAGCAGCTCTTAGATCACAGGTGGAGTAAGTTCATCAGGGTTATTCGGATCGACTAATTTTTTTATTCTATAAAAATGTAAAAATTATATATTATTTTATAAGGATTTAGCAAATAAAATCAACAAGTTTTGAAAAACATTAACAAAAAAAAAAACTAGTTACAATTCCTTTGATCATGGTTTTTATTTATTTATTTTTTGTTTTATTCCTTAACATTTAGTTTAATGAGGATTTTGCTTCATAATTTTTTCAAAGTTGTCTTCTATAATATGATTTTAGCCTCATAACTGAGATTACAAGTTTAAAAGGTTAGCTTTAATTGACTTTTTTTTAGTGTATTTTATAAATTATTTTTTTTAATATCTAGTTTTTTATGAATTATATTTTTTTATTTTTTTATTTAAAATTATCTCGATCTTATATCTTAAATAACAAATTTAATAGGTTGATAGGAGTTTTTTTTTGTTGTTATTTTTTTAATACATCCCAGATATTAATTTTTTAATAATTTAATTTATTTATGTCATTATTTTTTTTAAGTATTATTAGATTAGCCGAGTTTGATAACTTAGCAGACTTACTAATTCAATTCTTTGATTTTTTTAAAATCCCAAATTTCGTATAGAGTTTTCTATCACGTTGAGAAAAAAATTGTCTGACCATATATATATAGATGTTCCCTTGGCTGTAACATGTGAGGCTGCGTTTTACACTCACTTGTTTCCCTTGGCCCTCATTGGTTTTTCATATATCTTCAAATAAAATCCTATTTAGATAATTATTTGTAATGCTATTTATAAAATTATCCAATTACTGTATATTTTTAAAATAATATTTGATTTATTTTGAAAAAAAACTTATGGCCTGCCGTGAAATCGCGTGACAAGTATGTTGTTGGATTGTAATATTCGTGAACAATCCCTGTAAGGAAACAAAGATAAACACTTGGTGAACATCTATTGGTCATTAGGACTGCCGTATCTCCATGACACAATAAGTAGTTTCATTAGCTCACATTATAATTTTGGTTCTTGCTTCCTTTTCTTTTCGTGAATGTAATTTATAATTTATAATTGTAAATTGTAATTATAACTTGTTATGGATTGCAATTGTAAATCCCACAACAATACATATGCGAGAGCAAGCACAACAACTACACAATAAAACCACACCCTCTTAAACCAAATTAAAAAAATAAATAAAAATTAAATAATGAAATAACAAAAATAAATTAATTAAAATACAAAAATAAAACAAAACAACAAAAAAATGTAAAAAAATGATCGGACTATGGATGAATAATGCTGCCATATTTTTACGTTTCAAAAGTGTTTATAGAAAATTTTAAATTTTATTTTATTTTTTTATTTTAAATTAATAATTTTTTTGATATTTTTAGATTATTTTGATACGATAATATCAAAAATAATTTTTTAAAATAAAAAATATTATTTTAATATATTTTTTAATAAAAAATATTTTAAAAAGCAACTGCAACTAAATTTTTAAACAGAAAAGCACAATTAAATGTGAGTGAATAACTTCAGGATCACTAGAGTTTCTAATTATTAATTTTATAATTTATAAATTTAATTAAAATACATGTAAAATATATATATATATATATATATATAGTGATTATCATAAAAATAAAGGTGACTAGTGTAGCATATCGAAACACGTGACTCATTTAGTTTTTTTCAGTAATATTAGTTATTTGTTAATTAAAAGTATTTATAGAAAATTTTAATTTTTATTTTATTTTAAATTAATAATTTTTTTGGTGTTTTTAGATTATTTTGATGCGATGATATCAAAAATAATTTTTTAAAATAAAAAAAATATTATTTTGATATATTTCTAAATAAAAAACATTTTAAAATATAAATGTAACTAGATTTCCAAACAGGAAAATGCAATTAAGTGTGAGTGAATAATTTCAGGACCATTAAAGTTTACAATTATTAATTTTAAAATTTATAAAATTAATTGAAATTATATTAATAAAACATAAAAGTAAAGGTGACTAGTGGTAGCATATCGAAACACGTAACCTATTTAGGTTTTTTCAGTAATATTAGTTATTTGTTAATATTAATATAGTTTTAGTGTAATACCATTAATTATAAATATAGATTCTATAAGATCTACTACACTACTTACGAGTTTCATGGAATAACCTCTTTTACCGAGGATAGAAAACAAATACAATATTTTTCTGAATGGGATACAATCATACAAAACAAAAACAATAGGGGATGTTTCCTAATTAAAACATATTTTCCATTTTTATTTCTAGTTTCCTTTTCCTTTTCCTTTTCCTTTTTCCTTTTTTTATTTTTTGATAACAAATTACAAAATGTGTTTACTTGTTAAGAATGAAGATAATTTTTTTCATAAAAAAACATAAAGATTACAAGTATTTTTTAACAAAAAACCAAAACCATTCTTTTTTGTTTTGTATTTGGTATAATACAATTATAGAACAATTTGTTGTATTTGGGATAATCTAATTATAGAATATTAAATTTATTTTATTCAAAATTATCATGAAAAAATTAATATTATTAACAAAAAAATTATATTAGATTTATAATAAAAATTAAATTTATGACACTAACAAAATAATAATTTAATATCTCACATTGCTAAAATGTATTTTTATATAAAATAAAAAAACATACTGTTCATGTTTTTTCATTTAAAAAACAGTAGAAAATTTGCAAAAAAAATCATGGAGAGCTTTTTTAAAATATTTTTTTCAGTTTAAATTTAAAAACTTGATAAAATTTAAAAAAATTTCAGTTTAAATTTAAAAACTTGATAAAATAATTTTTCTTTTATAAATGAAAAAATATTTTATTTAAGATTAATTTATTTTTAAAAAAATAAAAAATAATATATTTTTAAACAGATTTATATATTAAAAAAAAAAAGCAGGCACGGTTCCGAAGTCACTGCGATGACCCAAGAATATTTTTCAAAAGGAGACAGACGAGCACTTGCGTCATTCAGTTCCACACGTGGCGATATTGGATTGGTAATTTATTTTCAAATCATGTGCTTGTCATTTAGTCCAGCATGATCTGAGCCGTTCAAAGATAGCCGGCCAAAGCGCAACCACGCGACCAATTATCTTACAGAAAAGTCCGACGATGGATGGAAGACAGTTAGTTCACTTCAGCTCTGGTTTCCAGTTTGTAAGGGAGAAAGAGAGAAAGAGGCCACCATTTTCATCATGGGCAAGAGCTACCCTACAGTGAGTGAAGAGTATCAGAAAGCAGTGGAGAAATGCAAGAGGAAACTCAGAGGCCTCATCTCTGAAAAAAATTGCGCTCCCCTCATGCTCAGATTAGCGTACGGATATCTCTGTTTTTCTATCTGATTTTTTTTGGAGAGTTTGATAGGATTGAGTGGTAGTGATTGAAGTATGTATGGGGTTCTCTATATATATGTGTGTGCGTGCTTTGTTTTTGTTGATGTAGATGGCATTCTGCTGGTACGTTTGATGTCCATACAAAGACAGGAGGACCGTTCGGGACGATCAGACACCCAGATGAGCTTGCTCATGGAGCTAACAATGGTCTTGATATTGCTGTCAGGCTTTTGGAACCCATCAAAGAACAATTCCCCATCTTGTCTTATGCTGACTTCTACCAAGTAATGTTTGCCGTGTCTTTATTTGATTTATAAATTAATAATTATGTTTTCTTTTTCTTGATTTATTTATGATTGAGGTTTTTGTATGTGTGTGTTTGATTTTCCTTGCAGTTAGCTGGTGTTGTTGCTGTTGAAGTTACAGGAGGGCCTGAGATTCCTTTTCACCCTGGGAGACCAGTTAAGTGATTAGATCGTCGCTTAATAATTTATTCTTCATCTGTTCTTTGTCATTCGTGTTTTTCCGCTTTGTTTTGTGCCTGATATTGATGTTGTTTTTATCTAGAAAAAAAAACTATGTCCAAAGTTCATATATCTTGATCAGTTTAATAGGATCAAGCTCTAGATACGCGCACAAGGATCTTTTGGTGGTCTGATGGTTTTCAATTTGATCGGAAGATCATATATTTGAACTCATAGTAACGCAATAAGTTTGGTAGAGTTTACTTTGTGGGTCATTCAGGATGCAGCTAATGAAGTCTGTTCTTTGTATGCTACACCACAAAGGAAATTCTATGGAGGAGGAAATGCTCTGGATTTAAGAGCTTTGCTCCCACTGCTGCATTACAGGACTAACCTGCAATGCATGCGCTTTTGTTTTTGGATGAATTTCCAAGTTTTAATTCAATGGACAGATATAATTTAGTGGCTTACTGATATCATTCCTTGCTATCAAGGTAAATTGATTGGTTCTGAGTTTACCGAACGCGTAAATGTTTGGGAGGGAAAATGAGTAGTGTGAAATGATTTTTATTTGTGAAACATCGTGCAGTGCTGATTGTGGACTAGAAAATAGATGATGTGCATGGTATAGTACTTAAATGGTAAAGATTGCTAGCTGTACTTGTTTGCTCCCACTAAAGATTAGGTTGAGTTTAGCTCGTACTAAATAGTGCAAGCTCTGCCCAGTTGAGTTTCCTTCAACTCCTTTTATGAATTAGTTAGCTTGAACATAGCTCATTATGCTAGGTGGTGACAGGTCAGATGTGTTAGAGAGAAGGGGTTGGACAATAATGATATGGATTCCTTGTACTGTGATCGATTAAAGATGTTTGCTCAGAATTGGAGTGAACTGTGAGGTCATATGGCACAATTAGATACAATCTATTTAAACGCCCTTGACTGTAGTTCCTGGTACCTGGAATTAGGTTAGCATTTTTCCTTCATTGCGTTTGTTGCTTTGATGGGATGTGGATGGGGCTGTTCAGATCAAAGAAGAGCTTATTATTGGTTGGGATATGATTGCAAAATGCAGTATATTTTGAAGTTTTTTTTCTCCTTTTCCTGTTCTTAGAGCAGTTTAATACGAATATTCCTAGAGTTGTAGAAATAGGAAGTGGTATGCCAGAAAGAAACCATATTAATGCAAATTCTGACAATTGTCTCTAACGACCATTGTGGCATTTTGCTCTTGTTGATGTTATTAGCTGCCTTTTCAGAATTCATGCTTCAGTTTTTAGATGGTAGTACTAATCAACCTTGCATTTGTTCAGGACAAGTCTGATCCACCTCCAGAAGGTCGCTTGCCTGATGCAACCAAAGGTTTGTCCTAGATGAAAACTGAAGGAAATCATTATAATTTCGTAATTATGTTTCAAATGAATTTCATGATCTTTTACTGTCACCTCAGGTTCAGACCATTTAAGGGATGTGTTTGGCCACATGGGTCTCAGTGACACAGATATTGTTGCCCTATCCGGCGGTCACACTCTGGTCTGTTCACAAACATGGAATTCAGTAAAGAACTTTCTTCTTATTCTTTTTTGTTGATGTGTACTATTGGTGTTTGCGCATATATTTACAGGGGAGGTGCCATAAGGAGCGTTCTGGATTCGAGGGACCCTGGACCCCCAACCCACTTGTTTTCGACAACTCCTATTTCAAGTAAGACACGTTCAGCTCCAGAGATGTTCTTTCTTGACATAATTCTGTCTGGAATTCAGATCTTAATGCTTGATTTTGCCAGCACGTGATTGTCTCGCTGTTATCCCCACAATCTAATAGCAAATCTATCGTTCAGAAAACAGGATGCAATCAAGTAACTGGTGCAAATTTTGATTCTGTTGAACAGGGAACTCCTCAGTGGAGAGAAAGAAGGTCTTATCCAGCTTCCATCAGACAAAACTCTTCTGGAGGATCCAGTCTTCCGTCCCCTTGTTGAAAAATATGCTGAAGTGAGTGTCTGGTCATTTCTTCTAGATAATAGCTTATAAATTTTAAAAAGTTGCATTAGATGGAAATTTCATCCTATCAACTCGACAATAATCTGGTCCTAAAGTGTAATCATCAAGCTTTGACACGGTGGTGGCATTGTTCCAGGATGAGGATGCCTTCTTTGCAGATTATTCAGAAGCTCATTTGAAGCTCTCAGAGCTTGGGTAAGCAAAAAAGCAACTTTCAATTCTGTCTCTCTTTAACCAGTTACCTTTTCCATGTAGTTTTGTTGTCTCTGATCTTCTCCTAAATTTGTCCACTGCTGCTATTGCATTTCAGATATGCTGATTCTTAGTGAGGGACTAGGACTAGGCTCATGAAGCTGCTGCTGTTTGTTTAATTGCCGGAGGCTGGTCTATTTTCATGGTTATGTTCTTAGATCTGATAAGACAAGAATATACGAAAATGGCTATGGTGGTCCATATTTGTATGTTTCAGTGTGTTGTAATATAAACGTAAGCAAGCTGCCTTTTATGTAGTGCTTCGAGATGGAATTGTAAAGGTTGTCATACTAGCCAGACTTATGGTGCGGCCAATAAATGGTGTTAGTTTCCATCCATGGATTATAAATTTGCAATTGCTTACACAGATAGTTTTCATACTAGCCAGACTTATCCTTGGTGTTCGCCAGCTGAAATGATAATTATAGGGTTCTAGGCATGGGCGGGGCTGGTTTTTCTGCTCACCGGAAACCATTTCTTTCCTCATCTAGCATCCTGAACTTCTAAAATATATATATATATATATATATATATATAACTTTTAAACATAAAAATAATTTTAAAAATAATAACCAAAAAAAAAATATATACCGCACTTGCAAACAGGAGGTCAGAGAGCATCCGGCCTCACTTGCGGGAGAAGCCTAATTTTTCAGCCATGGCAGGGGAAGACAAATAAAAAAATAATAAAAAGACATAGTGATTAGTGGATTTATTACCTGATCAAAAGGATTCTAGTCAGTGGTATGCAAAGGTCGTTTCTTCTGTTATTTTTGTTTGCTGTCCTGAGAATTCATATATTCTGGTAGCTCGTGATCGCTAGATTCTCTCAGTTTAGAGGTTGTTTCTTCTGGCTTGGTTGGAACGACATGTCTCGCAAATTTTCGAGAAGACTGGTATAGATTCACTTTATCACACATCGAGATGGCTGCTTCCTGACGAATGAACAACAAATTTGCTTGTTAATTTAGATGGTTCCCTGGCGATTCGGCTGCGCGATACCGCCAAATGCTTTTTAAAATATATTTTTATTCTTATTGAATATTCATGAGTACATATTTTAGAGAATATTAGGTTAATATATAATTATTCAAAAAGTAATTGCTAATATTATTTGGAAAAAAAATGACATAATGAGATAATTATTTGAATATCCTTTCAATAGATTTATTTAAAGATAATCTTTATTATAAAAAAACAATTAAATAAAAAACATAAGGGCCATTCTAAAAATAAGGATTGGGTTTTCCTTGTTGAAATAATGGGCCTATGTGCATGGCCCACAAATACAACCCCCGGTGTTCTTGGGTCTAAAAGCCATTTTGAGGGGATGTCCAAGTCTAGTATGGTTTCACTAGCTGATTCTTCATGTTGGGGGAGAAACCCACTTATAGCAACAAAACATCTAATCATTGAGAACTCAAAATCATATCTTAATTTTTTCTAAGGTATAATTTATTTTTTTCTGTATTATTAAAGGTAAAAAATCATCACTTTCGAGTTTTTTCTTAAAATTAAATTTATAAGGATTAAAATTAAAAATTTTAGTGGTCATAATTTGACCATCCATGAACTTTCTCTCTCTTAAATTTTTTCAAATACTTCTTATTTCTCATCCTTTGGAAATTAAAACGAAATAAAAATAAAGTTTATGACAAAAACATAATAAATTAAAAGAATATAGATGAAATATGTAAAAAATAAAACTTAAGGGGTTAAATGGAACTTTTGAACTTCTATTATCGAAAAGGTTTCGTTTCTTTTTTTATTTCCAATTTGGTCCTTGATCTCTTAATATCTTTTTAAGAAAAAACAAAAAATTAAAACTATATTTCATAGAATTGATCATTAATCTAATTCCAGAATAACTAACAACACATGAGACACGTAAGGCAACCTGGAAAGGAAATAACTCTAAACATATTTTAATACATAGAACCATGAAAATATAACTGCAAATGATGAAATTCAGAAAACAAACAAACTATAATGACCGAACTATAAGCTATACAAACTATGGGACCAAAATGTAAAATTTAGAAAAAAATACGCATTAAATAATTGGTTAACTGGGAGTGTGTGCATGGTGTTTCTGTGCACAATGAAACCCTGATCTAATTTATTTGTTTTTCTTTATTAACATGTTAGTTTATTAATGTTAATAATATGTCACAAGTCACTTAGTATTGCCAGCATTTGATTAGATCGGAGAGGTTATTTAATTTTATTTACGAAAGTTAATTTGAAAATATCACATGTCCGTAAAACGCACAAAGTTATGTTAATGATAAATCATAAACAATACCAATAAATTTCCTGAAATTGATATGGAATATGATTTCAGGACTTGCCTTTAATAACGGACTCATCACAAAAGGAGTACCAAAAAAACCCAGTGTTCCCTCGTAATTCACTACTTTGGATTCTCATGGTAAATTTATCAAATTGTTATTTTGAGGTATTTTTTACTTTTTCGTGAAATATATTTGGTATTGTAAAATTGCCAGGGGTATGTGTGTTTTGTTCTTCTTAATTGCACAATGTAAAATCTAACATATTCCTTGGGAGAGGGATTTTTTTGGTTTTTTATTACCAAAATATCTTTATATTTTAAAACTAATGTTTTTGTATTTAGATGTATTTGTGTCTTTTCTACTCTGATTTTTTATAAATTTTTGTGGGATCAATGATGTTTTGATATTTATTAAAAAAAATATTAAAAAAATAAAAAGTTACCGACATGTACTGATTACACATCAACATGTGGAGGATGTTGATATTATTTTGGTGGCATGTGACACCTTATTCGATCTTTAAAAATACCCAACTAATGTCTCATGAGAAGTGTCTAGAGGCGGCGCTTTTTTCTAACCAGTGAGTATTATCAGCATCTCTATAATTAGGTGATGACTGGATTATTTTTTTCCATCCTCTTTTCTCTCTTCTCAACCCATTCAAAGTTAAAACAATATTATCTTTTTTTGTATCATTTCAACTTGTGGTCATTATTTTTTTTATTGTTTTATATTTTTTAAAAAAATATTTTTTTTTAATTTAATTCTTTATCATTTTATTTTATTTTTATGTCAGATTCAATCCTCTTTCTTTTAGGTCATGTTTGTTTCTCGAAAAGTAGTTTCTGAGAAATCACTTTTCAAACTTTCTTGTGTTTATTTGCCATTAGAAAAGTTGGTCAATGGAAAATATTTTCTGGTCAACGAAAAACACTTTCTAATCAACGAAAAATACTTTTCAGTCAAAGAAAAATTTGACTTGATTTTCAAAAAAGTATTTTCCTTTATAACTGTGTTTATTTTTTGAAAAGTGGTTTTCGGAAAATCACTTTCCAAACTTTCTTGTGTTTGTTTGCTGTTATTTTCGTTGGTCAACGGAAAACACTTTCCAGTTAAAGGAAAATTTAGCTTGGTTTTTAGAAAAGTGTTTTTCTGAAAAATTTGGGCGGAAAACACTTTCCGGAAGTTGTGAAAAATTTAAAAATATCATTTTTTGTTGATTATATCAAATTTGATCCTTAAACTTTTGATTGCTATATATATTTTGTTTTGAATATTTATTTTTTAATTTCATTTCTTAAAATTTAATTTTTAT